GAGAGAGAGAGAGAGAGAGAGAGAGAGAGAGAGAGAGAGAGAGAGAGAGATACAGAGAGAGACTCACTCACCACATGCTTCCTGAGTCGTCGTCCTCACCGAATGCACTAAACAATCAATCGTCTCGCTGGTACGTCAGCTCCCTCTGGTAGCCTGCGAACAAAACGAGAGAACACACATGAAGGAGACATCTGCCCTATCAAAAAATACACACGCGCACGCGCGCGCACGCACGCACACACCCACACACAGGGTGCGAAATTAATGAGAGTCCGGAGTCAAATACTCCCTGATTTACTGTCGGACTCCCTGATTTGACATATGGAGGAGTCCGTGTGACTCCCTGAAAATTATGCCATACCAACTAGTTCGTTTCGGAGCACGGCCTCGCGGAATTACTGTATTTTTTCAGCTAATGTCCAAAGAAAATTTGGCAGACGTGCAACTGCATGAATCTTAAAAATAAGCACATGCGTTATTCTTAATATCTTTAATTTTGAACCTCAGACTGCGGACTACCTCATTTTGCTGCGAACTCCCTCTTTTTGAGGTTTGGACTCCCTTGTTCAAAAGTTAATTTCTACCCCTGCACACACGCACGCACGCACGCACGCACGCACGCACGCACGCACGCACGCACGCACGCACGCACGCACACACACACACACACACACACACACACAATGCAAGCAAAGTTGGACAACGTAGAAAGCAAAATACTTTCAGTACTCATTGGTAGAAGATGAGTACCGTATTTGGCGAATACTCATGACAAACTACCCGGTACTCATACATTTGAAAATTGATGAGTAAATACTCATCTGATCCAAATATTATCTGGAGCACTGTGACTAGGAGGGATATCTCTCAGCCTACCTTGACTAGGAGGGATATCTCTCACCCTACCTTGACTAGGAGGGATATCTCTCACCCTACCTTGACTAGCACAGAGCCGAACAGCGTTGGCAGCGTTGGACGCCTGCGCTCGCACACTCAGCTGGATGTTGCCAAGCTCTGTGGCGCGGATCGGGAAGTTCTGAAGCCACGAAGGAACCATGCATCAATGCATTCATATATGTCAGGCTCCTCCCTACGTTGCGCAAATCGGGCGCGCCCGCCCCGTTTGGGAAAACTCACCCCCCCCCTTTCAATCGTTGCGCCACGTTTAAATTGTTTCCGCCCCAATGTAATAAAAAAAATTTTTTTTAATGGGAATGGCTACATGAGGAACAGGCTGAGTGAGTCGGCTTTGAAGGCGCTGCGGCTACTGGCAATTGAGGGGCCACCTCGACAAGAATTCCCATTCGACCTACTGGCAGCAAGAACAAGTCCGCACCTGCAACTACAGCACACACGCATCTATTGACTATATATAACAACGTTATATATAGTTGTTATAGTAGCTATACTTGTTATAGTAGTTATATATAACTATATATGTACTGTTGTTATATATAACTATATATACTGTTGTTATATATAACTACTAGCTGCGGGTACCCGCTGCGCTGAGTAAAATCGTGCTACTAATTCATACTACTAATAATTGGACACAATATGAACATTGGGTAAAAATCGACAATATAACATTGCACACAATATCAATATTTATGCGATGACGTCCAGCTGTGACACTTTGATGACGAGAGCGTAGGTGGTGACGGGGAGCGAGTACGGGTCATCTGCGATGACGTCCAGCTGTGACACGAGTCGCTTCTCTCCGCGCCGGACTGCATTGTCCAGCTTCAACTTCGTCAACTACCGATGCAGATGATGACGAATGTAGTGGTTGTCAATCACAACGACATAACTAACAGGTTCATTCATTAATTCGTTCGTTCATTCATACGTTCATTCATTCATGTTCATTCATTTATTCATCCATCCATTTATTCATTTCCACGCACTCACACACACACACACTCATGCACGCACTCACACACGCACTCATATACGCACTCACACACGCACATGTACTCTTCGCATTTGTATATATATCTTTTACTAGGGAGAAATTTTCACCAGTATTTCTGAGGTAGTTAGTTACTAAAACTTGCATTCAAAAACAAACAAACACGACAACTGCCACTTACGTCGCTCGACAGCTTGCGCCTGTTCGCCAGCAGAGCATTGAGAGTGTAGGCAGAGAGCGGGATTCCACCAGCAGCTCCTTCCTGTGGAACACACAAACACACGTGTAGATGAAAGAGGTTACACAGGTCACACCACGATCTCACCCCCTCAGAATTACAGCCCTGCTTCTCTCTCTAACTCATGGTACCTACCTTCCTCTCCTTCTCCTTCCGTCTTGCTCACTGCCTTGCTCACTCCCTTTTCCTTACTTCATTACTTCCTTCCAGCTCCATCCCTCTTTCACTCATCCGCCCTCTCATGCATCCCCTACCTCCTTCTCCTGCCCTCCCTTCTTCTTCCCCTCCTCCCTCCTTCCTCTCTCACCTGCATGTCGGTGTGTATGATGCGGCCCGGTTCGGGGAAGCTGCCGTGCTCCCCCTGGTGGAGCACGATCCAGCACAGCGCCCTCTTTATTGTCGCATGGGCGATGTAGATGTGATCAGGCGCTTGATGGATCGAGATCGCTACAAATGACGTCCGTCTGTAGGAGAGAGACAGTCGTACAGTTGTAATCGGTTATTCTTCCTCATCTGTTTATCATT